CCTGCTGATAAAGCTCACACAGTGACAACACTAACCTGGGCCGTGGTGTTAACCTGACTTGCAGCCTCCCAGGTGTCCCTGGCCCTCTAGCCATCTGGGGGCACTCTTCTTGTCAACAAGGCTCTGCCTCCTCCCACCCTCCCTATTATAGCCATAGGTTCTCAAAAGACCTGCATTTCATTTAGATATGGGAGAGAGGGTGTTCTTCAAATGGAAAATGTGTATTATGAAAACACTGTGCAGGAATTTCAAAAATCTTTTGCACCAAACTAAAGCCATACTTGAACTCCATTTTCCATAGGCTTTCTGATGTCCCTTTATACTTAAGTCTCCGCTTGTGTTAAATTCTTAATCTCTATTTGCATCTTGCCTCCTGTAGCTGTTTTCTTTTTCCAGTCTTCATTGACCCAAATATAAAACACATCTCCTTTTCTCTATTATAATTAATTTAATTTAATTGACATTATTTCCTTTTATCTCACATACAAATAACTGGGCTGGTATATTATTAATCTGAATGCAAGATTTTATTCTAGTGGCCACCTATACTTTTGCTATTTTATTTTCCCATGCTTTTTTTGTAAAGTGGCTTCTCATAGTCTTCTCCAATTTAAATTTAATCATTGAATATTGTTGCAAGCATGTGACTCAATTATGTGCTCTAGTCTGCCCTTCTGTGAATATGAACATTGAAATCCATGTTTTTAATCATGTAATATCATGTTTTTACCTTTATATCACAATTAAGGTATTATATTAATATTTATAATAATGTACATAGGTGGATTAACTATATATGAATTTAATTTGGAGATGGTAAAGGGCAATAGCTAAATATATGATCTAAAAAGAGGGCTTTGTGTCTGGTAGTGTTCAGAACCAGTGTTCTGGGCATCGTATGGCTGAATTGCAGAAACAGCTTTCCATTCCTACGGTTCTATTTCTGCTGGCTCAACTGCCCTTGTTAGGGCAGGAGGGGTCGAATGTTAACCCCACCTTGTGAGAATTAGGGCCCTCCCTTTGTGAGTGCTGAACATTTACCTGCATGCCAGCTGCATCTCTTTCTCTATGCTAGATGCCAGCAGTGCCCCAGACACTGTCCAGATGACCATTCAGTGCCTCTCTAGTCCTCAAAGATGGCGGAAGGAAAGCCGCTCCACTCTAAGCACACTGCAGCCTTTCTGTACTTGGAAGTTGTTTATCAGCCTCCCAAGTGAGTCTGGTCCTCTAGTCACGTGAGACCACCTGCCTTTAATATTAAATAGCAAACAACTGACTCTAGCTCTCATCTCACACAGGGTGAGGAATCCCCATCCCTCCCTCTACATATTTTCATGGATTCTCAGAAAACCTATGTTTGATCTTGCATTTTACTCATACAATACCCAAAACACTGGCTGTCAAACTGGTGGACCCAGTACCCTCCTTTTATAATCTATACTCAGTTATTGCCCCCCGTTCACCATCTGTTCTCATCTGTTCTATTGCTAATAGCATCTCGATCCCCCAATCCTGGCCTGTTTTAGTTCCAGAACAACAGGGCTAAGTTTAGGCTCATAGCAACCTATCTGGTGAGAGCCTAGCCATGAGATCCCAACTCCTGGACTGAGGGCCTCACTGCCACCCACCCACAGAGTACATCTGCTGGAGACTGACCATAAATATTTACCTTTCATTAAATATGTCATCACTGCCATTCACCCAGAGTCTCACAGCGCCCGCACAGAAACCAGGGCCTGGAGTTGGGTGACACCGAAACAGTGGACCTGTGATTCCTTCTAACTTCTGGAAAACAGTGCTATTCAGTGTGCCCTGTACAGAACCCAGGATACAACTCTGTCTATGCTGAGACCCATCTTGGTCTGGGTTTTGCTGAATAGAATGGAAAAAAAAATGAGCATTTTCTTTCTTTTTTTTCTTTTCCTTTTCTTTTCTTTCTTCTTTTTTTTTTTCCTTGAGAGGTTTTCACTATAGGGCATACACACTTGCTGGAGAGACAGAGAGACAGAGAGACAGAAAGTGAGAAATCACCCCCCTCCCAAGGGGTTGGTCACATCACAATCCCTCCTCCCCCATTCTCCTCTCAAGATTTTAGGCATGCATGCACATGTGCCTGGTGTGAGTTTCAAGCCACTGAGTCCGGGACTCAAACCGTGGTTGGCCATGTGGGAGTCCAGTGATGTAACCATTATACCATCTGCAGGTCCTACTAAGCACTTTTTTTTTGGAGAGGTTTTTTTTTTTTCTTTTTGCTATAGGGCACGTGTGCTCGCCAGACAGACAGAGAGAGACAGAGAGATAGAAAGCAAGAAATCCCCCCCCAGGGGGGATGGCAAAGCCGCAATCCCTTCTCCCCCAGTCTCCTCTCGGGATCTTGGCCATGCACGCACATGCACCCAGTGTGAGTTTAAGTCACCGGGTCTGGGACTCAAACCTCAGTCGACTACGTGGGAGTCCAGCAACATAACCATTACGCTAACTGCTGGTTCCCATGAGCACTTTTCTGAAGTAAAAATTTTCTCCTCTGAGTTTCCAAGGATCTGATAGTAAAATAGGCAGATGCAGAAAGACATGACAATGATACAGAAGAGTACTGCCCAGTAAGACTTCAGTGATGTTCATATAGAACGTAGTACCCGTGAGCTGTGTGTGGCTGCTGAGGCTTGAAAAGTGCCTAGTGGGACTGAGGAGCCAAACTTTAAATGATATTTAATATTAATTATTGAATAGTTTAAATTTAAGTAGCAATGTATGGCTAATGGCCACTGTATTGAACAAGCAGATATAGAGTATGAGATCAAAGCATTAATTGAGGGCCTGTAAAATATCACCTTGTGCTGGATGTATATGTGAGGGGATTTCAAAAAGTATGTGGGGGACCAGCAGATGGCATAAGGGTTATATCACTAGACTCCCACAAGGCCGACTGTGGTTCCAGTCCCAGACCTGGTGGCCATCCCCCCTGGGGGGTGAGTTCTTACTTTCTGTCTCATGTAAGTGTCGCATGCATTCTGTCACTTGATCTCCAGTACCTACCACATTTTGTGGTAGGTGCTACAAGCTTTGCAGATGAGGAAACTGAGGCTGAGAAAGGATAAGAAATTTGATCAAGGTCACATAACTGGGATGGGCAGACTTAAGTTTTAAACTGAGATCTTAGTACTTTGTCTATAGTGTCCTAATTCAGTAGAATTAAAAATATTTTCATACTCTTGTTTATAGTAACTCAATAGGCAAATAACTGGGAAAAAAAAGAAAATAAAATTGAGATTTTTATATACATTGTTGTTAATAACGCTTTGAATATCTTAATTTTTATATACTAAATAGCACTTCACCACAAGATTTCGCTTACTTAAGTTTTGTTTCTTCCATGATAGACAGTGAGACAGAGAAAGGGAGAGAGACAGCACCTCCAACAGAGTCTAAATACCACGGTCCATCACCAGGCCTGGTCAGCTCCAAATCACAGGCATGCATGTTTATGCCTGGAGTAC